ACATGGTCATCGATGAGGGCGCCCCTATGCGCGCCCTCATGGGCCCTCACGTTTGCCTTAATGTTTTTTAATCAACAATATTAATAATAAAAGTTAATTAATAATAAATAAGCTTCAATTATGAATAAATAACATATTTATTTACTAATTCTTTCATTTTTAATTATATTCTTACTCAAATTGAATTTATTAATTAACGTTCTAATTAATTAACTGTCGGATATAGATTAAAAGTAATAATAAATTAATTAATTAAAAAATATGTTATGATCGGATATTTTCATTTTTCAACTAATTCATACATAGAAGTAATTATTAAACGCAAACCTGAGAAATAAATAAATCTAACGCATGGGGGGAATCGAACCTACGACCTACGGACTATGAGCCGAACGCTTTACCAACTACGCTACGTGAAAACGAATGCTAACTTCTTGATGCTATTTGAACTTACAAAATACCTAACTCAAAAAAACTAGTGCTCAACATCATAATATTTAAAGTTAAGATATTTAATTATATTTTCCAATCAAATGCAATTTATAAAATATAATTGATCCTCTGGAAAGTAAAACCACACATAAAATTTTGACCGTCATGTTTATTCAATGGGAGTCATAAGTTTATGTGTTGTTTTACTTTCCAGCGACTCAATTAAATATATGCTTTATGATTATTATTATTAATCATCCCAGATGAATTTTCAAAAAAAGTGTAAATATATTTTAATTAAAAATGCGTTATTCGTTGTTCTGAATCATTGTAAACATTAATTTTTTGGTAATAAAAAAATATTTGACTTTTGGACTTAGAAAATTTAGCTAATCTTTCATGAGGGCGATCCATGCGGGGCCCCTACGTTGGCTCTCATGGATTCGCCATATGGATCAGCCATCATGCGCCCTCGCCGGGGGCCCCGAAGTCTTGCGGGCAATATCGTGGCTTTTTCCACACGGGTTATCACAACTTATTTTTTTATTTATTAGACATAAAAATAAATGTTAAAAATATTTTTTAATTAATTTTTTTTCTAAATAGAAGGCATTTTACGTGTAATATCCTGAGTTAAAAAATTGATTTCTCGAAAAAAAGTGAAACGTGGGGAAATTGTTGTCCTACCTGATAGTAAAATATCACCAAAAAAATTTTTGACTTTTTTGAAATCGACATTCTGAAAATTTATATACAGATCGGAAAAAAGCTCAGCTTTCGTTTGCAATTATTTATTTTAAAAAAACGTGAAAATAGCTAATTTATGATTAATTACAGAAAATCAAAGTCAAAATTCAAAAATTTTTAAAAACGAAATTCACCATTGGAAAGAGCATGAAAAACCCTTCAAAAAATATACCTGCCAAAATTTTTATTATTGCAGTTATAGAAAGAAAAAATTCAAATAGTAGGCGGTGTCAGGGAAAACTGATAAAATTGACCCCCCTCTATCTCCCCCAATATTTTAAAAAAGTCATAAAATTTTTTGTGGATATTTTACTATCAGGTAGGACAACAATTTCCCCACGTTTCACTTTTTTTCAAGAAATCAATTTTTTAACTCAGGACATTACACGTAAAATGCCTTATATATTGCTACCTCGTGAAGGAAGCTTTTTTAGTCCTTTCGTTTATAAAATTTTTAAAAATGGTAAAAACAAATTTTTTTCTATATAAAAACATGTTATATGATATCCTGATCAATTATCCGGATGTATGTGTGTGTATGTGGATCGTTCTTGTGAACACGATATCTTTAACAGGTTTTAATGGATTTGGGTAAAATTTAGTAGCCTTATTTATCACATTAATCTCTCAAAAATGACGAGACGATTTTTTAAAAATACCCCCAAAAAAAAATTTTATCGTCTTTTTTCCAAAAAATTTTTTTTTAATTAAAGAAATTTTTAAATAGTAAAATTTATGGTAATATATAATATAATCGTCTTCTTTACACGTCAAAACGAATCGATTAGTATATATAAAGTATAGATTTGATTGAAATTTAAAGAATTAATGAAAGTTAAAAAATAAAAAATTCACATTTTAGCTAAAAAATGTTGTGTTTATTAAAATTCAAGTTAATACATAAAATAATTGAATTTCCTGCATTAAAACGAATCGATTGGTATAGGATATAAAGTATAGATTTGAATTAAATTTTAAGAATTAATAAAAATTAAAAAATCAAAAATTCATATTTTAGCTAAAAAATTTTGTGTTTTTTTAAATTCAAGTTAATACATATAATAATTGAATTCCTTGCATTGAAATAAATCGATTCGTATATATAAAGTTTATGTTATACCCAAAATGTATTACAATTTTCTTAATTTTTCAAAAAATTTAATCAATTTAAATGTTTTTAACTCGAAATGTTTTAAATCAATTAATTCAATTAGAGAAATTCATAGCTTCCTCCACGAGGAAGCAAATAAAAACAATAGAGTCGACTGGATGTCTACTTATAATAAACCATTTATGACTCCTTATTGTATTAGTTGTCCTTCTATACCTGAATATTAAAATTAATTACTTGAATTCATACAAAAACGCGACCGCAAAACGAAAATTAGGAAAGTAATATAATAACAGGTCCATTACGTCCTGCGGCCGTCAGATGGCAGAAGCATGCAGGGAGCACAAACTCGCAGCTGTTATTGTATTACTTTTTACTTTTCAATCGCTTTTTTGGATGGATTCGCACATTCTTTCGGATTAACCCCTTTGCGATCCCAAAAGCACCTATATTTTAAGTTTTTATAAAATTTCGCAAAAATAAAAAAAAATGTCCGCCATTTTGGATCCTCCATTTTGAATTTTTTTTTAGGTCTAAATTTGTAGAACATTTTGGGACCACAATACCAATTTTTTCTCTAACAGTGAAGCGGTTAAGAGTTGAAACGTTAAGTTCAAGATGACAAATAAATATGAGAAATTTGTCTCAAACGACCATCTTAATATTATTATTTTTTTTATCTGAATAATATTTTGAAATAAAATAACTATGATAACGTATTCTTTAATATTTAATTCAAAGATTTTAGGTTTTTAAATTTAATTTAAAAATGTTTAAACAGACTAAATATGACAAAAATGAAATACTTACAGTTACACCAAGAGTCTGAGGGTAGGCAAGTAACAAAAAAAAAGTTTTTGTACTTAGAAATTGTTATAAACAAATTATATAACAATTGAAGTTTAAGGCTGTTTGTGGTTAAAAAGTTGTTATTCAATAATTATTCTTATATTTTTAAACAAATTTATATAAAGAAAAACACTGTAATGCAATTGAGCCGCTAGATTCTAGAAGGGCAGGTAAATTTTTTCAGCCGAAAAACGAAGTCCTCTGGACACTCAAAATTCATTTTTCGAATTTTAATATTTTTCGAGCATATTCTTATACAGAATTCGATTGCGCATCTTTTTTTCTTAATAAGAAAATTTCCATCTTTTTCCCTTTTCGAAATATAAGAGAAAAACTGTTTTTTTAAAAAAGAAAATTTTCATTGTTTTTTTTTTGACTTCAACTCGCGACAGCTCAGACAATTTCTTAATGAAACAAAAAAACGAAAATACGTGTTATTATATTCTACGAGTGATTAAAAAAGAAAAAAGTTGTAGAATCCAGCGGCTCAATTTTTGGTCAGAAATTATTCGAATTTTTAATCTGTTCAGAATTTAGTTCTTAGTTAAAAGAAATAAGAATTTTCGAATTTGGTTCATAATTGTGGTCTAAAAGTTAATTTATGTTAAAATATTTAATAAAAATATTAAATATTCCAAAAGATAAAAATAAGGAGAGAAGAGGGCATTACAACAATAGAGACAACTGGAAGTCTAGTCATAATAAACCATTTATGACACCCTATTGTATTAATTGTCCTTCTATACCTGAATATTAAAATTAATTACTTGAATTCATACAAAAACGCGATCGCAAAACGAAAATTAGCAAAGTAATATAATAACAGGTACATTACGTCCTGCCGCCGTCAGGTGGCAGAAGCATGCAGGGAGCACAAAGTCGCAGCTGTTATTGCATTACTTTTTACTTTTCAATCGCTTTTTTGGATGGATTCGCACATTCTTTTGGATTTTACCCCTTTGCGATTCCAAAAGCCCCTATATTTTAAGTTTTTATGAAATTCCGCAAAAATAAAAAAAAAATGTCCGCCATTCTGGATCCTCCATTTTGAATTTTTTTTTAGGTCTAAATTTGTTGAACATTTTCGGATCCCAATACCAATTTTTTCTCTAACAGTGAAGCGGTTCTAGAATCCAGCGACTCAATTTTTGGTCGGAAATCAATCGAATTTTTAATCCGTTCAGAATTCAGTTCAAGAGTTATCGAATTTGGTTCATAATTGTGGTCTAAAAGTTAATTTATGTTAAAATATTTAATAAAAATATTAAATATTCCAAAAGATAAAAATAAGGAGAGAAGAGGATATTACAACAATAGAGACGACTGGAAGTCTATTCATAATAAACCATTTATGACACCCTATTGTATTAATTGTCCTTCTATACCTGAATATTAAAATTAATTACTTTAAAAATTCATACAAAAACGCGATCGCAAAACGAAAATTAGCAAAGTAATATAATAACAGAAACATTACGTCCTGCCGCCGTCAGATGGCAGAAGCATGCAGGGAGCACAAAGTCGCAGCTGTTATTGTATTACTTTTTACTTTTCAATCGCTTTTTTGGATGGATTCGCAAATTCTTTTGGATTAACCCCTTTGCGATCTCAAAAGCCCCTATATTTTAAGTTTTTATGAAATTCCGCAAAAATAAAAAAATGTCCGCCATTTTGGATCCTCCATTTTGAATTTTTTTTAGGTCTAAATTTGTTGAACATTTTGGAACCACAATACCAATTTTTTCTCTAACAGTGAAGTGGTTAAGAGTTGAAATGTATAATATTATACAACTGAATAATTAATTAAAAATGTAAATAATAATAAATTATTCCATTTTCATGGAAAATAAAAAAGAGTCAGTTATTTGAAAAATATTTAATAATAAACATTGACAATATACAGAGAAAATACGCCATAAGAACTCGCTATTGGAGTATGTAATAAGAACCTAACAACTGGTCCAGACTTACAGAATATCATCAAATCAGATATTGATAAAGGTGTTCCCGGTGACACCTTATTACATTCCTGTCAGTACTTGCAACAAAATTTCGAGTCGTACAATATTTACTTTTTTTTTTTTTTATTTTTTATTTATCAATTATTATTATTATTAATTGTCAATTAAACATTTCTCGTGTGCAACTCTTTTAAATGGCATAGTTTTTATTCTATACCAGAGAATTTTAATGCATAGACTCGTTAACGAGCGTTCACCGTGAATACACAACTGGAGTTTATTTTTATTTTTTTATATATATATAATTTTTTTTTTTTTTTTTTTGTTCATTTGCATTCATTTACACTGCAAGAAGCGAAAACAATGGCATAGCTGTTACTTTTTGTCTTCAATGCTACTTTAAGATTAGAGAGTGTACTTCTGGCTGATTTATTCGATCTTAATTTTGTTTATTTTTTTTTCACTCAATACTTTACACACGCACATATTCTACAATGTAACGCTCTAATGTCATGGAACATCTCTTTTTTTTTTTATTTAATAATTCAAAACACAACAAGATGCTGTCCAACTCGTGATCATTTCTTTGGAAGTCAAATTTCCTTTTTCTATAAGCATTCATTGAAAAAATAGATCATTTTAAATAAATTCTCCATTCTCGTCAATTTTTTTTTCCCCTCTTCCCAGACATTGGGAGTGGAATTTTTTTTTTTTGCGAGAGAGAAATTACTGCAAAAAATAAATACTAAAGCAGAGAGAGATATACTTAATTGATAGGAAATTTGATTTCCATGAATGATTTTTATTTAAATAGAAAACACACGGTTGAGTTTAATTTTAATTTTTTTTTTTAGATGGAGTTTTGGGCAGCAACTTGCATCGTATTGCTAAAGATATGTTGTTCGTAAGATGTGTCATTTACGTAGTCATGTATTCGCCTAGTTGTTTAAAAATTTCTTTTTATCGTATATATATATATATATATATATATATATTATAAGGTGCGTATCATTGAATATTTTACATTGTATACTGCTAGACTTTAGACGATGTGAAACCAGCATCGATAGTAGGAGGTTCAAAAATCTTTTTTCTTTTTGTGTAATTCGATAATTACATGACCCCTGCAATTTGAAAAATCGACTTTAATCTCTCTCTCTCTCTCTTTCTTCAATTACAAATAATTGTCTTCATCGAAATAAATAAATAAAAAAAAAATACAAGAATCAATTATTCACAAATATCTCTTCTTGAATTTCTATGCAAATTATAAAAAGTCGTTTGCATATATTTTTATCAAAATTCGTTGCAAAAAAAAATACTAGAAATCTGTTAAAAATATTTTATAATTTTCGAATATTTAATTAGGACAACAAAATTTGTTCTCTAGAGGCTTCCATCTACAAAAATTTGATTTTAATTATGAAATTAAGTTCAAATATCGTCCTTTTTTTAAAAAAAAATGCTCAATTTAAAAATTTACATTTTTTTTTATTTTTGAAAGTCATTTTTAAATAATTAAATTTAAGGGAAAAAAAGACAAAAAATTGTAATAAAAATTAGTCCAACTGTGTATTTTTAAGTTTGTGTGATTGTTGTGATTTCACATGAAAATATTCTCCGCAGGTTTTCTCGCAAAATATTTGATAAATTAAGCTAAAATTTTGTGGAGAACTCAAAAATAGTATAAATATTCGTTGTCATGTGACAAAGTTTATTAATATTATGTCGAAAAAAATTGATTCTTAACAAATTCCACATTTGGGAAAATAATTAAAATTGTATTGCCGACATATTAAATTTTCCTTTAAATATGCAATTTTTTAAAAATATATATATATTTTTTTTTTGACAAAATAAATTTATAAACTTTGGCACGAATCTTTATACTATTTTTGAGTTATTCACAAAATTTTAGCTCAATCTATCAAATATTTTGCGACAATCACATAGCCTTAAAGAAAAAGATGATTAAAATTATTAAAAAAGTTTCGGTGAAATTTTAAATTGCAATTTCTAATTGTTTGAAGTTTTTAAAATTAAATTGTTTAAAATTTCATCGAAGCTTTTTTTTAAAATTTAAATCATCTTTTTCTCTAAATATACAAAAATACACAGTTGAACTAATTTTTGTTCCGATTCTTTGTTTCCAAATTTTTATTCTAATATTACTTCGGCATTAACTTCTAGAAATATTTATTTTTTTCTATTTTTTGATTTTATTATGTAAATTTTAATTTTCAATTAAAATTTATTTAAAAATTCCTCTTTTGGAAATTGTTTTTTTCCAATTGTAATCGATTTCAAATCATCGACAAAAAAATAAATAATTCAAGTACAGAAAAGAAAAATTTCAATAAAAGAAGTAAAATAATTGATAAAAGTTTTAATAGAAAAAAAACTGGTTTACACAAAAAAAAATGAGTATTTATATAATATAAGAAACTATTACAAACTCGCAGACGACTTTTTTTTTGACAATTTTCATAGATTTTCATTCTTTATCGCGAGAGAATTAATCGTTCGCACAATATAATTAATATTAAAGTTTCGACAGAAAAAGGATCATTTTTAAATGGCAAAAATGAATATATAAAAAGAAACGTAAGTTACATACGAATTATCTATACAGAAACTATAAACAGCGTAGGCCAGTCGTAAGATGATCTCTTTAACAAAATGGAAAAAAAAATTCTAAAAAAAAAAAAAAATTCTTGTGCACATTGACAAATATATATATAACAATAAAAAAAAGAAATGGCTCTGCAGGGGGCGTTTAATTGCCTAATTTGAGCTTGACTTATTGACTACACGCTAAACTTTAATAGCCTACCGACAAATATTATCAATTAATGAGTAAGTATAAATTGTAATTACATTTTATAATATACAGGGGGTAATTAAAGGGCTAGTCGCGATTTTTTATTTTGTTCTTTGTCTCTCGCAATCGCCCAGTTGCTCCGATTATTTCTACAATATTTAAAATTCAAAAATTTGTTTTTTTGCTTTTACACGGTTTTTTTTTCAATCATTTTACAGATTTTACAATATTCTAGCACCAGAGTAAAATTTTTTTTTCTGAGTGTCTTTGCGATCGCGAGAGAGTAACAGTGACTGATTTTTTTTTTTTATGTAACAGAGATACATTCGCATTATTTAAATGTAAGTTAAACTACGCTCGTTAAATTATGTGAGTATGTCAAGAGTTTTTTTTTTTTAGCTTCTACTAGATTTATTTCTTCCCCCCAAAATCCCTTCGCCTCTTTCTCGCGATTTGTGCTTGTTATTCTTTTTTTTTTATTTACAATCTGGCGATCGTGCGATTTCGTCTCATGCGGAGATTTTTCTTTTCTTCTTCTCTAAAGCCAACTTAGATTAGATTAAAAACGTAACGAACGGCTCTAGCCATAACGTACCTGCTAACATATCTTTGTCATATTTGGCTAATTCGTCTTTCTCTCATTCTCAGCAACACTCGTACAGACTTATTTTTTTTTTTTATATATAAACGATAAATTTAACGAATATCACTCATTCCTTGTTCAATGTGCGTAAATTAATTTCAATTTTTTTTCTTACTTTTCTTTTCAAATCCATTTGTTCGCTTGTTTTAAATCGGCATTGTTCAAAATTATTTTTTTTTTACTTTCGATTTTGAACTAAGCCGTTTGCGCGTTTGTTTTCTTGTTCGATTAAAAGTGATATTTTTTTTTTTTTTGCTTTTAAAAATTTTACATGCACACCTTGTAGTTTTTCTTTTTTTAAATTAACTTTAGAAAAAGAAGTTACGTACACAATCACGTACATACTTAGTTACGAACCTCGATCATTTAATAATAGCGTCTCTCTCTTTTCCTCTTTAGCTGCGAGATTCTATATATACGTATACTTTAATGGATCCATTTATGAATTATGTCATATAAATTTGTGTCATGTTCGTTACTGCCTAGCTAAGAAATAAATAAATTACATGTTCGATTTGGTTTCTCGAAGCGACGCTCAAGCTATTTTTTTTCATTTTTTTTTTTTTTTTTTAATGTAGCCCACGCGTCGATTTCATGGCGAAAATGGGAGGAAAATCACTTTGGTGTTTCGCTTTCAACGTTCTAAATTGACATTCGTGAAATCTAATCATTTTTTTAGATTATTATTATTTAAATTTCATTATTTCTTTTTTTTTGTTTCTTCAAAGCAAGAAAACATAAAAGTTTTTCGATTCGGTATCAGAAAATTTTTTCAAATACTTGTATTTAAAAAGAAAACAAATATTTTTACTTTTGTTACTTTAATTATTTACCATTTTTGTCTAATTGCTTTTTTACATTTGAAAACAAAATTAGTTTCTTTGTTTTGAAAACTGAAAATTTTTCTTTCTTTTACTTTGTTATTTTTTTCCATTTTTTAATTATTACATAAATTTTCGTTTTAATTTTGTTATTTTGTAGATTACAATTTTCTGTTACAAAAAATGCTATGTATAAAATAACAATTTAAAAAAAAATTAGTCTTTATATAATAATTAAAAAAAGAAAAAAAAATTTTATGTAGAAAATAAATACGTTTCGTAATTTGTTCGACTAAAATTTTTTAAAAATCTATTTATACTATTTTATTTAAATTTTTAAATTACAAAATATTTATCAAATTTTGTTTTTAAATTTCTTTCGTTTCGATATTTATTTTGTTTCGTTGTTAATTTCGAATTTCAGAATCAATTCGATTGAAATAAAATATTTGAAATTCTGTTTTAAATTCTATTTGGAATTCTGTTTGAAATTATTTTTTAAAATTTTGTTTCAAATTCTGTTGTAAATTCATTTTTTTTTTTTAATTCTATTTTAAATTCTATTTCAAATCGCTAAAAAGAAATAAATGAATAAATTTCAAATAGAGAAAAATGAAAAGCGCCAAAAAAAAGATAAATGAAAAATTGTCGAACGTCAATTTAGAAGTGAAATAAACGATTGATACAGTTTTCTTGGGAGTGTTTGACGTATTATATATTTTATATAAATATATATAGAGTGAAATTATCTATACAGTGTTAGGATCATTAATAGTAATATCGAATGCAAAACTATGAGTAAAATCGTTTGATTAGAACCCGGTAGAGAATAGTGACTAGACCCTGTTTACCAGAATCCGGTAGTTCGGTCTAGATTATTATTATTATATCAATAATAATAAAATCTACACTACAGTACTTAACGTTTGGTTCGCAATCTACATACACACATACACACTCACATATATTTGGCATGGAAATCTACCAACTTTTGCGCGTTCCTAAAGAAAAAAAAAAAAACAATCGGAATTTTTCTGACTTTCGCGAACGTTGCAAATTCGTTCAGACGGAAATCAATCAGATTTCGTTCTTTTAAGAACGGCAGCCAAATCGACTATTATTTATACTAATCTCTCGCTCTCTTTCTTTCTCAACGTGGCTCAAAATCTATTTTAGCCATTTGTAAATTATGAACAAAAAAAAATATATATATAAAAAAAATAAACAAGTAAAAAAAGGCTACTAAAAAAAAAATATCTAAGAAGTTAAGCTTTGTACAAAAAAAGTCTCCTTAGATTATCTACAAAATAGTTTCCAAGTCTTTTGTAAATTTGACTATACAACTATATATTCATTTTTTTTTTACAATTCATTTTCACGAATTGTACAATTATTTCACGACGTCTGAACCTTTAATTTATGTCAATTATGGCTGCCATTTTCTTTTTTTTTTTTTTTGGAAACGAGCTGACAATTTCTATTTGAACGATACAACATCAAGAGAAAAAAAAATATAAATATAAATGAGAATTTAATCGAGGCTCTCCTTAACGCATCTTTCTCTGTGTGACTTTTTCTATTATCTAATCGAGAATTACTATCATTATAATTTGGCTTAATTCGACGTACAATATTCGTCACAATGTGTAAGAGATGAAAATTTACGATTGATGCGCTGAAGAATAAGTTCCCATCTTGAAAGAACTTGAATTATTGATGTCTTGAAGTGTTTAATTTTTTTTTTTTTATAAAATGACATCGACAGATCAGAAGGTTCAGGCATCGTGTTATTTTTCTTTTCTTTTTGTAATGGATTTTGATGATTGTGTGTTTCTTTCTGGTCATGATTTTTGCTGGATGTAATTATTTTTTTTTACTGGAAGGCTTTGATGTGCTTCCTTATTTCCTTAATAAGGTGTGAACCTGTTGTATCCACCTCGATAGACAGTCGCCTGTGAAATAATTTTTTTTTATTAATATTTCATTAGAATTTTTACTATTTTATTAGAAATAATTTAGATTTAAATAAATTAAATATTTTAGATGAATTTTCAATTTTCGAAATAAAATTTGACAGAATTTGTTTTTTTTTACGAATTTTTAATTAAGAAAATTTTTAATTACCTAATTTTTCTTTAGCAGAATTTTTATTATTTTATATTCATTTAATTTACATGACTTTTTATTTAAAAGAATTTTTAATTTAATTGAATTTCAATTTAACAGAATTCTTATTCAAACGAATTTTATGTGAGAATTTTTAAATGACGCAGAAATTCCAATTCGCCGAATTTTAATTTGTCCGAATTTTTATTTGTACGAATTTTTAAGACGCCGAATTTCCATTTGGTTGAAATTACAAATGGCCGAAGAAACAAACGACAGAAAAATTAAACTGAAATCTCTATCTTTTGTTCGTTCGGCCATTTGTAATTTCGGACAAATTAAAATTCGGTTTATTTGAATTTCTGTCAGTTAAAAATTCAAATCACATAAAATTTGATTGAATTAGAATTCTGTTAAATTAAAATTCGAATTAATTAAAATGCTTCTAACTAAAAAGTCATGTAAAATAAATTAATAATAAACTTAATAATAAAATAAAAATTCTGCTAAACGAAAATTTTTATAGCTAAAAATGTTGTTAAGTAAAATTCAATTACTTTTTAAGGATTTAAAAATCCGCTAAACACCCTGAAATTTGATTCTGTTTTCGAATTTTAATTTTTGCTTAAATTTGAATTCAATTTTCAAATTTTTAAATCTTTTTCTATATAAATTATAGAAATCAATCAAAATTTATGTCACTGTTTATAATTTTAGATAATTACGAGTTTATTTTCAAAATAAATTTTAAGTGAAAATTCATTGAGTTTCCAAAATTTTAATTCTACTGTAAATTTGATTCGCGCGATTCAAAATTCGAAAATGAAAATTTTATTCCATTATAAACAGTACGGTTCTGTTTTCTAATTTAATTTAAAATTTAAATTGTAGCAAAAATATACTTCTAAAAAAACACAGTTTCAAATTTGCAAAATGTTAATTTTCTAATAATTTTTTTACTCGAACAAAATAAATTTTCACTTGAACCAAATAATTTTTATTTGAATTAAATAAACTGTATTTGAAGCAAAAAATTTCTATATTTGAAAAACAAATACCATTTAATTAACTCAAATAATAAGTATTTTATAAATATTTATTTGAATAAAATAAATTTTTTTTTCAAGATTTTTATATGAAGATACTTTGAAACTTACCCCATAACCAGCAACAGGTCCAATACCATGTCCAAGGTAAGGATCAGCATATTCACGACCATAACTGAAAAATTTGAAAATTGTTAAGAACAATGTCTCTTATTTTGTTTCCTAATTTTTATTTTCTTTTCTTTCTTTTAAAGGATATTTTGATGAGGTTTTTGATTTGGAAAAGGAAAAATCTTACGAATTTAGTCAGTGTTTTTTCATGGGATTTTCACACATGATATCACATTCATCTTTGGGATTTCGACTACGTAGTGCTCGACCTATTGGTCGACTTCTGCTGCAAGGAATCATTCATTCATTGTTAAAAAGCAAATTAGAATATACAATAAAGAGATAAACAAATCGCATGCAAAAACTTTCCATATAGTCATTTGAGAATGGTTTTTTTTCAATTTTCAAAAAAAAATTTTAATTCACTTAAATTATAAATTTAGAAAATTAAAAAAAATTAATTGCATCAAATATTGCATACAGGTTATTAATTAAAAAAAAAATTTATTTTAAAAATTAAATTTATACTATAGTGAATACTGTTTCGAAGTTTTATTTGTCTTCGTTTCTATTATTACAATTTTGCTTTCTAATTTGATTTCGTTTTATGGAAATTTTGTTCCATTTTTAAATTGCGATTGAAACAATAATGCATTTAAATTTTGTTTTCGTTTTTTTTTTTTAAATTAATATTGTGACGTAAATAAAATGCCAATAAAAAAATTTACATTCATTTCAAAATTAGGTCATTTCTGTTTTTTTTATCAATTTTAATTTCATACAGAAATTCGATACCGAAATTCGTTTTTTTTACGAGTTTAAAAATGAAAATTGGTAATTTATTTATTAATATGGAGTTCTATGAAAGCAATTTTCTTTGTAAATGCAATTGTTTATTTACGACATATAACAATATTGTTCGAAATAAATAAATTCATTTTTAATGAAGAATCAGATGGACAGTTGGCAATAGATGCGCGCATCAAAAAATGTCTTTAGAACGGTACGATTTTGCCTATTGTGGAACCCATTAACATAACCTCAAACTAAAAAGTAGTTTTTAACAGAACTAAAAATATATTTAAAATTTATTACATCCAAATTCGACAGATCCAATTGTGCAATTTTGGAAAAAATTATTTTGAGTTAAAATTTGTTGTTAAATAATACTGAATAAACATTTTGCATTTTAACAATAGCACATATTATTCTTTGAAATATTTTCTACAATTTTGTTTGTTGAATTTTATTAAAAAAATATTTTGTTCAAAAGTTAATAAAAAAATAAAATTTTTATTTTTTATATTTTTTAAACACACCATTATTTAACAAAAAGCACAAAATCAGAATTGTAGAGAATCTTTCAAAAAGAAAAATGAGCCATTCTTTATAAAAATTAGAATTGTTCACTAACTTTTAAGAAAAAATACAAAATATTTATTAATTATTATTTAACAACAAATTTTAACTTAAAATAATTTTTTTCTAAAATTGTACAATTTGATATGTCGAATTTGCGTGTAATAAATTTTAAATATATTATTAGTTCTGTTAAAAACTACTTTTTAGTTTGAGGTTATGTTAATGGGTTGAACCTCCTTAAGAAAATGTCGCGCGCAACTATAAAGTCGCTCTCACACCTTTTTAGTTGCCTGCAGGTTTCCATGGCAACGCATGAGAGTGAGTGCGACAAAAAATTTGAATATTCAAATTTTTAAATTTTCTGTCGCACTCACTCTCATGCGTTGCCGTGGTAACCTGCAGGCAGCCAAAAAGGTGTGAGAGCGCCTTAACAGCTGATAAAAAAAGGGAGAAAAAAATGAGTAAATGTTTTCAAAATCTTGAGCGACTTTATTATTCAAGTTTTTTTTTTTGCTATGAAAGATGACAACAAACTGTAAGTCATTTAATTTCTTGTTCTACATTAAAAGTGAATTTTATTTATTTTTAATAAAGGTACGGTCACAGCCACGAAGTAGTATAAGGAGCTCTCATTTCGAATAATAAGTGAAAGCGATTTTTCTTTTTTGTTCGGACCGTGCTTATGTAGCGTCAGCAACGCCTCTGTAGTGAAATAATAATAATAATAATTTTTTTAAATAATTGAATTTAAGTAGATTTGAAATTTTTGTTAATCTCAATTGCCAGAGATTTTTTTTACATTCTTCACATAAGAATTAAAGTTTAGAGAACTTTTAAATTCAAAATTTCTTAAAGAATTAAATTTTTGAAGAAATTTTTGTAATTTTTAAAATAATTACTTTAGAATAGTTTTTATTGAGAAATTGAAAAAATAATTGAATTTTGATATAATTACAGTTAAGGTATTATTAAATAATTCAATTTTAAAAGATAGTGTACCTCTTCATTTTTTTATTGTCAAAAATAATTAAATTTTAGGAAATTTTGAATTAAAAACTCAAGGAGTTTTATCAAAAGTATTTGAAAATTATTAAGTTTTTAAAATATCTTAAAATATTTTCATTTGGATCAGGGAAAAATTCAAAATTCCTTTTATAAATTAGGAAAAAATCAAATATTATTATTTATAAATGCTAACCGTTTTCGCCTTGAATAAATGGCTTTTCTCTTGTCCATGAGGAATTACAACCACTGACACAGCACGAGCTCATTTTACAAATTGCTTTTATTTTCATTGTAAAACCAAACTTAATATTTTTTCACATTTCAGTTTCAAAAAACACAAACGTCGATACACGGAGAGAACTGGATAGTGAGTAAGACTCTCGGTTCGTTTGTGGTAACTAAACAGTATTGTTAATTTTCGACGGACCAATATAAGAGTAGGCTTTACTAAACAGTAACATGTTCAGTGTACAATAGTGCCAACCTTTAAATCAGTTAAAAATCTAAAATGGCTGCTTTTGTTTTGAACATAGCAAACATAACCTATAATGTGTTGATTATATTTCATGTTTCATTAAAAATAAATAATAATAATGCACACTGTTGATAAATTCCTAATAATTTCAATATAAATTTATTCAAATAAGATCAAAAAAAATTAAATTAAAACATAAACAAAGTGTACTGTTTGGAGAAAGAATCGTCCGACATTTTGATATCTCAATAAAAAGTGGGGGAACATAAGCAGTAGCGTAGCATTCACTCAAAAGAGAGTGAGGCCAAAAACATTGTTGAGTATCGTGAACTAAACGGAACTCAACGCTGTTTAGTTACAATAACTGCTAGTAAAGTTGTCATGACAATATTTTAAACTACTAAACAAGTTTTGTAGCCACAACCGTAACTCTTCTCTCTCGTGTATCAATCAGTTGTTCATATGTATTTGCAGCCATTTGCATTTATAACTACTGTTTCATCACTTTTTACAACAGAGGCGCTGCTGATGCTATATAAGCATGGTCCGAACAAAAAAGAAAAATCGTCTTCAACTTTTTTCAAATCTACCCATAGAGTGGGAGCTCCTTATACTACTTCTTGGTCACAGCTAAGTTGCTTGAGGAGCGTCGTCATGGTAACGTACAAGAATGAGAGAAACAAAGAATACTTTCATTTCACTCACTCTCATACGTTACCATGACGACCCACCTCAAGTAACTGAGCTGTAACTGCACTCTAAACTAAAAAAAAACATCAACGTTACCATTTTGGAAAGTTTTTGCCAGGGAAAAAATGAATAATTAGTACAAAAGAAGCAAAAATAATTATATATACACTTTGGAATATTGTTGATGGATTTTTTTTTTAAAGGAATTAAATATATATGAAATGATGTAAATTATAAAGTGTCTTACCCGGCAACTGCTGCGTATCCTGCGACTGGTTGTGCTGCAGCTGCAGCTGCTCCATATGCAGCTCGTGCAGCAACTGCTGTGTATGTAGCTGCCGCCGCGTAACTGGCCTGCTGGGCTGTTGACAATGGCGTCTTCAAGAGGGGTGATGCTGCAGCGGCTGCTGCTGCGGCCTGAAACAACCACAACCCGCCATGCAAGCTCAAGCAAGCTCAAAAGTACTAATCGCACCAGTACTGTAATCGGCGAAAAGTTCTCTTTACGCGCAAAAAACAAGTACTGATATTTAACAAGGTACATAATGCGTGTGATACTATATATATAATATATATTCTCAACTACAATATTTCACTTTCTCAATTATAGCGTCTGCTAGAACACAATGTCTCAGAAAGAAACTCATTTTTTAAAACATTTTTTTAATTTTTCAGAAAAAAATTTGTTTTTTTTTAGAAAATTTTATAAATCATGCAAAAAAGAATTTAATTCTCTTTCAAATTTTTTATTAAAAAAATAAAATATTAAAATATACATATTTACAGAAAGAAAGGAAAATTGAATTTTAAGGTTATGTGATGATTTCACGTTCTTCGTGGGTTTTTTTCGCAAAATATTTGATAGATTGAGCTAAAATTTTGTGGAGAACTCAAAAATAGAACGAGGAATTGCTATATTAATTTTTTTTTCAAAAAATTTGTTTATTGAAAATTGCATATGGCGGCAATATGATTTTAGTTAATTCCCGCAAATTGGTAAGCAATTTTTTTGACAAAATTTTAATATACTTTGGCATATGAAAATGAAATACTATCCTGCCGTACAAAAAAAAATACCGGCCAAAGCAGAACAGTTTCGCGAAAGTAGTTTGCGAACGAGATGCATGCGTTAGAAAAGGACAGAGATATATTTGTGTCCTTTTCTATCTCATGAATCACGTTCGCGAACGACTTTCGCGAAGCTGTTCTGCTTTGGCCTTAACTTTTTTTTTTATTTAGGTTATGTTGCCTATTATTTTTCTTGCAAAAAAAAAATATACAGATTAAAATTATGAAAATTTTAATTAATGGAAGAAAGAAATAATTATTTCTATCAAATTTTCCATAATTTTAATTTTTTTAAAGAAGAAACATAATGGGCAACATAACCTAAGTAAAAAAACAAGTTATATAATTTAGTTTTGCACAGCAGAATTTTTCAGTTATGTACAAAATTTTAGCTCAATTTATTAAATACATATTTTACCAAAAAACCTGCGGAGAATATTTATATGTGAAATCACATGACTTTAAGGTTATGTTAGACGACCTTGAATTTTTCCATTGTACTTCCATTGGTAAAAATTTATAGATGTACAACATAACCTTAAAGTAAAAAGAAATATTAAGAAAAAAAATTTGAAATAAACATATAAATAAACATATAAATAAACATAACCTTAAAGTAAAAAAAATAGAAAAAAATTCGAAATAAACATATAGTGGTAAAATTCCTTCTTTACGGATTTAAATAAAAAAAAATTGTAATTTAAAAACTAAAAATTTATTAAAAAAAAAAAAAAAACAAAAAAAACTTTGTTAAAAATTATTCAATATTTTTACAGTAGGAGAATCTTTCAAAGATATAGTGAAATCTAGCCTACGAAATACATGGAGCAGGTAAAAAAAGAAAAATTGGAATAAAATTTATATAAAGGCGAAAACGACGACGGTCAGTAAAGAGAACGAGTGCTCGTTAAGTATGGTGAAAAATATCATGCATAAAGAGACATCTGAATATAAAAAACGAAGTGCAGGTATACAATTCTTTTGAACTCAGGAAAGAAAGATTTTGTGAGATAAAAAATCGAATGCAAGAACAAAAAAAAAAAAAAGAAAAAGTATAATATCAGGAGAAAGAAAAAAAGAAAGTAATTCAGAATAACACAGAAAATTTCGAGTATTAAAATCAAAAATTTTTTTGCATTCGATATGGTCTGTTCCATAATTTTTTTTGTTTGATTTATTCAATTTTTTATAAAGCATTTTCTCTATTTATACCTAATGTATTATTATATTATACTAAATTCTAAAATAATAATAAACTTGATCTAACAAAATGCAGATCAATTTTCATAAAAAATATTTATTTCATTAAAGCTGTTATTTTTATTTTAAATAAAATTATTAATTTTTTTTTAGAAATATAAAAGTTTATAATTATTAAATTTTTGATCTTTTTTTATTATTTTTCAAAATAAAATTGAGAAAATTAATTTAATTGATAAATCAATAAATAAAATGAATAGTAATAAAAAATTGCATTTCGGATATATAAATAAATTAAAGTGATTACTTTTTGAAATAAATATTTTTTCGAATGCACAGTGGAAACACAGACTATATAATCTATATAGGTATATAAAATTCATTTTATCGATTTTCAGGACAATTAACTTTAAGTGTTCGATTTCTGAAAAGCCCTACGGATTATTTGAAAGAAAGGACATTGGCAACAAAATCCGAATAATTAATTTCACCTAAAATTTAATTGTATACTTTCAGAAAATGCTGTATCCGAGAACAAAAATTTATTCTTATTTTTCATCAATAATTCTAAAATGTTAATTCCTTCGGTGCTAATTTACAATTCCAATTTCCCAATCGCCTATTTTTATTTTCAGAAAAAAGTTTGTTCGACAAAATGCCCTTAATTTAAAAATTTCTTTTAACTAAATTTTTTCTTCCCTCCTTTTTAATTAAATTCAGAGTTTTCAAGAATAAGCTCAATTTTTCCGATTCAAAAATTACTCTTCGATTCGAGTAGAGAAAATTTAAGGCATCGATTTTTTACTTTTTTTTTTTTTTGAAAACAAGCACATATCCTCGTTTTATCTTGACATAAAGATAAATTGGAAGCTCGTATTTTTTTATATGGACGACAAATCTTCTTCTTTTGAAACGATTCGTTTTCATTTATACGGGATAAAAAAAAAAGTTTCGCGACTTGGTGACATTTTGTTTAAACGATATTTTCGCATCTATCGGTGAAAGCAAATATTTAAAATAAAATAAAATTCCTCCCTCCCTCCCCTCCACTCTTCTATACACTCGCACAAGACATCAATCGTTCACTATATGCTGTCAGCAATTAAAAACTAAATCCTTCAAAATCCCAATTCCAATAATGCATATGGACGTACGCTTTATTTGCAACTCTCGGGGAAATATTAAAATTTATATTCTATAAAACGTAAAATTATTTCAGCAAAGTAGCTTTAACAAGAGGGATTTTCAAATATATATATATATATATATACATTTCGATGAGGACTAAATTGAAAACTAAATTTCCATAACAGAGTGGATTTCCATAACATTACTGTGAGCTGTATTTCCATTCGATTACCTCGGGACCACTTTCGTCAATTCAAAATCAAGCGAAATGTATAAAACATTTTTTTTTTGGGGTTATTTTTTTTTATTTTTCAATTTTTGAGTTGATAAAATTAGAATTCGAAAATTTCAATTTGAATTTAAATGAATAATATTTTTATGATTCTTTTCTACCAACGAAAAAAAAATAGGACACATGATTATCTTCTAAAAATAATTAGTTAGAATTTTCATTTTATGGAATTTATTTGTCCTAATTATACTAGGGCCAAATTTTTATTTGTTCGAATTAGTATTTTTATATAATCAAAAATTCACTTTACAGATTACATTACAATAAATTACATCCTTTAAAGGCAAAAAAAATAGAAATTTAGAAAAATAAATGTACATTTATTACGGAATGACCCCAAAAAAATTCAAAAAAACAGTTATAACTTTCAAACAAATTATCGGATCATTGTGAAACTTGGTAATTATGTTCTTTGTAATAAATAACACCCTTTAAAGGAAAAAAAATTAAAAATTAAGGAGATGAGGGCATAATTATTATGGAATGTCCCCAAAAAATCCAAAAAATGGTTATAACTTCTAGAGAAATTAACGGATCCTTATGAAATTTAGTAATTATATTCTATGCGATAAACAACATTTTTTTATTGCAGAAAGATTCAAAATTAAGAAAAATAGGATATTTATTATGGAATGACCCAAAATAAATCCAAAAAACAGTTATAACTTTCAAAAAAAAAATTACCGAATCGTTATGAAACTTGGTAATTATTTGATGAAAATTGTGCAAAATAATTAACAAGTTTCATAAGTATCCGTTAATATCTTCAGAAGTTATAACCGTTTTTTGGATTTTTTTTTGGGGACATTCCATAAAAATAATGCGCTTCTTTTCTAAAAATTTAATTTTTTTTTTCCTTTAAAGGGTGTCATTTATTACAAAGAACATAATTACCAAGTTTCACAACGATCCTGTAATTTGTTTAAAAGTTATAACTGTTTTTTTGAATTTTTTTGGGGTCATTCCATAATAAATATCCATTTTTTTCTTAATTTTGAACCTTTCTGCAATAAAAAAATGTTATTTATTGCATAGAATATAATTACCAAGTTTCATAACGATTTGATAATTTTTTTTGAAAGTTATAACTGTTTTTTGCATTTATTTTGGGTCATTCCATAATGAATATCATATTTTTTCTTAATTTTGTATCTTTCTGCAATAAAAAAATGTCATTTATCACATAGAATATAATTACTCAATTTCATAAGGATCCGTTAATTTCTTTAGAAGTTATAACCATTTTTTGGATTTTTTTCGGGTTATTCCATAATAATTATACCCTCTTTTCCTTAATTTTTTATTATTTTCCTTTAAAGGGTGTTATTTATTACAAATGAGATAATTACCAAGTTTCACAAGGATCCGGTAATTTGTTTGAAAGTTATAACTGTTTTTCTGAATTTTTTTGGGGTTATTTCGTAATAAATGGACATTTATTTTTCTAAATTACTATTTTTTTGCCTTCAAAGGATGTAATTCATTGTAATGTAATCTGTAAAGTGAATTTTCGATTATATTAAAATTCTCTGAATATAGAAAATCGTTTTGATGAATATTCTGCAACATACTAATTCGAACAAAAATTCGGCTCAAAAATAATTATGACAAATGAAATTCCATAAAATGAAAATTCTAACTAATAATTTTTGGAACATAATAAAAAAAAATTAACATTTTTTTCTAAATTGTGTTCTTTTTAATTATTTTTCCACTTTTCTCTAGAGAA